ATGATCATGACGCCAGACACTGAACGTCTGTCGTCAATGTTGCTTCACCAGTCTGCGTCCGTAAACGCTTCTGCCTTGACAGCTTGCGTTCCAAATCCACTCGTTCCACTTTTGTAAACGATACCATGATAACGAGTGGACTTCAAATACTGCAGAACACGAATCGCTGCCTTCCAGTCTTGCGTTCCAGGATCCTCTAGGAAGCGTGCCAGCTGCGTGACAACGTAGGCAATGTCCGGCCGAGTACAGGTTGTGATGTACATGAGGCACCCGATTAAGGAACGATACGGTCGTGACCGCATTTCGGCACGTTCCTTTTCCGTAGTCGGCGACATCATCTTGGACAACTTCAGGTTTGCTGCGCAAGGGTTCTCCACCATCTTGGCGTTCCGTTGATTGACTCGTTCCACAATGTCGTCAATGTACCGAGTTTGCTTGATCATCAACGTTCCACATTCTCTATCGTGGCCAATCTCCATTCCCAAAATGAATTTGGCCTCGCCAAGCTCCTTCATCTTGAATGCGCTCTTCAGGGCGTTTTTGACCTCTCGAATTTCGTCGCGCGTCTTGGCCGCAATGATCATGTCGTCCACAGATAGACATACGTACACGAATGCGTTTTTGGAGCGCTTGACGTAGACACACTGGTCGGCTCCGCAACATTTGAAACCATTCTGCAGGAACCCGCGATGAATAGTCTTGTTCCATGCACTTGCAGCTTGCTTCAAGCCGTAGATGGCCTTTAGCAGTTTGCACTTCATGCCTTCAGCATTCTCGAGACCAAGTGGAACGTCCATGTAGACCAAATCCACCAAACAACTGTTTAGGAACGCTGTGTCGGCATCCAGTTGCTCCATAATGTAGCCGCACGTAACGCAAACAGCGAGTACAACTCGAATCGAGTTCATATTCGCAACTGGGGAGTACGTCTCAAAGAAGTCTATTCCAAACTTCTGCTTGAACCCCTGCGCTACTAGGCGTGCCTTGTAACGGATAACCCGGCCGTTCTCGTCACGCTTCTTCGTGAACACCCAGCGACATCCAATGGAACGAGTTGTCGTTCCACGTGGAACGAGCGTCCATGTTCCGTTCCGGGAATGCGAATTCAGCTCTGACTGCATAGCACGACGCCACTCTCCTGCTTCGTTACTGGCAATAGCTTCTGCGTACGTGTTAGGCGTATCTGGAACGCCACCAATGCTGGCCGCGTACGCCAACACTGCCTCTGCGAGCAAACCATCTTCGTCGATTCTGGCACGCTTAGGAGATGACGGTCCATCACTTCCACGCTCCACATCTTCATCGCCACCATTCCCAAGTAGAAGTAATGGCTCACGAGGGCGCGTAGATCGTTCCGTTTCAGGATGGAAGATCATCCGGTCCTCATGGAACGATGGAGGCTGCGAATGGAACGTTGCCAAATCCAACCCATTTAACCTGGGTTCCTCCGGCGCGGGTAGCTGCTGTATTTCTGCGTTCCGTTCCGGTTCAAGGTCGTCCATCTCAATGTCTTGAGCAGGCTCCTCTGCTTCTTCCATCGGTTCATCCTGAGCAGGCTTACGTTCCACTCCCGATATTGGAACGATCGTATCATCGTTCCTCGTCACATGGATGACCGTTCCTGAAGCTGGCGACTGCGTGTCATAGATTCCGCCCACCTCACGCTCGTCCAGCTTGACCGACCGTGTCACCTTGACCTTCGACGCATCCATGTCGTACACACGATATCCTTTCACGTTCTCAGCGTACCCGAGGAACGTGCACTTGAAGCTCTTGGGTTTCAGCTTCGTTCTCATCACGTCGTCCACATGAGCGTACCCTTGTGACCCAAAAACACGTAGGTGTTCCATCCGTGGCTTCACCTGGAACGACAGCTCGTACGGCGTGACATCAGAGTTTGATGTGTTCGTGGAACGGTTGATGAGATACACTGCAGTACTAACCGCTTCCGCCCACCACTGCGTCGACATAGACTTGTAGTGCAGCATGCTTCTTGCCTTCTCCATGATGGTACGGTTCATGCGTTCCGCCACTCCATTCTGCTGAGGGCTGTATGGAACGCTACGCTGATGCACGATACCGTTCCGTTTGCATAGTTCCAAAACTGTCTTGTTCACGAACTCCGTTCCAATATCGGAACGAAGACATTTTAGACGTTCCCCCCACTGGGTTTCGTACAATGCCTTGAACTCCTTCAGTTTGCTGCCCACCTCGCTCTTGCTCTTCATAAAGTACGCAACGACAAACCTTGAGTAGTCGTCTACGAACGTCAGAACATATTTGGCACCACCCTTTGAGATCGTTCTCATTGGGCCCATTACGTCCGTGTGTACTAGTTCCAACACACGCGTCGTTCTCGTTAGCGATCGTGAGGGGAACGTCGTCACGGTCTGCTTTCCCTTCATACATCCACCGCGCAAAGTCTCGTTCCCATTTTTCACATGTGGGATACCAATTGTGGAACGTTGAGTCTTCGTCAGCGCGTCCTTGTTGAGGTGACCCATGCGAGCGTGCCAAAGCTCCCACTCGCTGTCAGGACCGGCGTATTGCACGAAGTGTGCCTCCTCCTGCTGACAGTCCAGCAGGAACGCCTTACCGACCTTCTTCCCTGACGCTATCGCAGCGTTCCGTCCCCAAACTACACAACTGGAACGCTGGAACTCCACGCTCATGCCTCGTTCCGCGAGCTTCCCGACCGACAATAACCGTCTATCGAGCCCCGGAATGTGGAGCACGTCCACCATTCGGATGCGTTTACCGTCCAAACCAGTCAACTTGACCGTTCCAGTTCCTGCGACGCGCAGCTTCTTGCCATCTGCAATCGTCACGTTGATGCCACTGTCTAGTGCCTCGTACCCAAATAGGTCGTTCCGGTGAGGGGTCATGTGCGACGTCGCACCACTATCAATCAGCCACCCGGCCGAGCGTTCCCCACCAACTGCAAACACTGCATCGTCTTGACTGCTCTTCTTTGCAGCAGGACAGTTCCGCTTCATGTGACCCACTTGGTCACAGTTGAAACACTTGCCCTTGAAACCAACGTTCCGTTTCGGACCGTTCCATTTTCGATCGTTCCATTTTTGACCGTTCCCTCGGCCGTTCCGGAACTTGCCTGCGTTCCCATTCACTTGGAACGCCTTCTCCATGGTTGCCTTCTTCTCGAGTCGCTCGTACTCCTTCAACAGCTTTTCCTTGGCCTCGATGAGCGTCACACCCTTGGCGTTCTCCACGATAGACGAAATGAGCTCGTACTCATCGGGGAGGCTGCTCAGCAGCACCACCAGCTGGCGTGCCTCGTCCATGGGCTCTCCTAGCGTCTGCAACCCGACGATCAGCTCATCAAACGCATCCAGATGCTTGGCCATAGTCGATCCACTTCCCATCTTGAACTCGTGGAGGCGACGCGTCATCGTCACGCGGTTGTGGAGCGTGGTGCGGTTATAGAACTCTCGCAGCGTTCCCCAAGCTTCTATGGAACGAGTGGTCGACCGAATCTTGGTCTGATGCTGGAGTTGCACTCCCTGAGCGATGATGCCGAGCGCCTTGGCATCATTGACGAGCCACGCCTCGGTGATCTCGCTCTCCGGCTTGACGGCTTGAATATGCGCAAGCAGGCCCTTCCTGGCTAGCGTCATGCGCATATTGTACTCCCAGTGGAAGTAGTTCCCACTCCCTAGGAGGACTTCGGCGCGCTTGGTCGTCGTCATATTTTGGAACGTTCCAGTAGAGTTGAGCGTTTGCGGCTGTTAACCTGTTGTTGTTGTTAAAGGAAAATGCCGAAGTGAGTAGATTAAAGTCAATTAAATCTGTCCTCTAAACTTCAGTGCTCCTGGCCATCCACCAGATTAACCGGTTTGGGACCGGTCCAGTTTGGAACGTCACGCCGGTTAGCCGAACCGTGCAGAGTCGGTGCATATCAACAATAACGAATGAACAGCGACAACAGATCAAAGCCGACAACACATCATTGATCTAGGTCCAGCTTGTGTTGTGGGCTCAAAACGTGTTTCAGCTACAGCGAGCTTTATAAGCAAGAGCACCAACTCGAAGCCACACCATTGGAAGCTCTGACTACGAAGTCTCACCGTTCGGTCCTTTCTCCAGAGCTAGACGCAGAGCTCACAAATTGGGTAGGCTGGTAAGATTTTTTTTTAAATGCGGATGGATCTGAGCGTTTGCCACCTCTTTTCAGCATACTTTTATTACCTGCACCGATTTGACGAAACTGGGCGTAAAATCAGTTATAACCATTCAAAATTAACAAAAGAACTCATGTTTTCACACTATATTAATGTGCACACTCATTTCGGACCGGATGTTGTACCTATTACTGACTTGTGTCAATTCCCTGTTGTTTACAGGCTGTATCATCCTACTGATTTAAGGAAATTATTTGCTAAATGCTTTCCCAAAAACACCACATTGAAGTGCATATTCGGATCCGGGCCAGAGGTAGTGGTGGGTTTTGGGTTTGAGCCGGTGTTAATTATCGACGAGGAATTTCAAAAAGCCAGTAAGAAGTAATGAAATTTGGGTACGAGGATGATACAGCCTGTAAACAACAAGGAATTTCCAGAAGTCAGTAATAAATACTGAGTTTTGGGTTTGAGGATGATACAGCCTGTAAACAACGAGGAATTTTTAAAAATTAGCAAAACGTACTGAGATTTGGGTTTGGGGATGGGAATAATACTTAAGTCTTGAAGATTATAGTTTTACTTTTTTTTTAATATCAGTAGCTCTTTGTTTTCATCATGTGGTTCTTCGCAAACGACTTATCGGGATTATCGAGGAAAAACGTATTTACTATGAAATTAAAACCCATAATACTTTATGAAAAAAAACAGTATATTTTTTATCATCCTAGTGTGTCATTCTTTTTAAAAAAGTACTTCTATTAAAAAGAAGTGGGGTATTATTAAAAATACCGACTTTAGGGTTTAAGCTGAAGTTTCGCAATTTTATCAATGAAATCGTCATTGGTAAGCTGTAGCTGTTTCTCACCTCTTCTGGTAGTTGATGAAGCGCATTGCCATCAGCGTGCACACACAAAAGAAAAGTACGAATCCGACCAGAATCCCGCAGTTCCTCCAAATCTCGCTGTGTTTCATCAAGAAGTTCCCCTCCACATACTGCTGCACAGTGAGTTCGTCCGGAAGTGATGGTGGTACGTTTGTCATCTGTCTGCAACCCAGGTCTCCACCACTGCTGCAGCCCCCGAACACAACCGCCGAGAAAGCTGCCATGCTGTACGTCATTGGGGTGATATCGTACAGCCACACTGTCGCTGACGGTAACGTCGAAGCCGGAGGACTGAAACCCGAAAATAAGTACGAAATTAGTGTCACTAAGACGCCCACGATCTCTGCAACTTCCAAGTTCGGCAGCAGGAAAACCAGCAGCTCAGCCATGTATGCTTGATGTAGTACGTGTAGTGACAGCACCAACCAACACGAGAAGAAGGCTCCGACCCCAGTAAAGCCCACAAGGGGAAAGAACGGGATCAAAAATAGTAATACTGCTGCGAAGACGTAGGGGATCTCTATCACACTCAGACCGACGAAGTACCAAAGAGCATTGTACGTCTGTGACGCTCGCTCACGGTAGAACACCGAGCGTTCCTCGGCAACAACAGGAATCAAGCCGTTGAACGACACCAAACCAATGAATCCCACGGCCAAGTAAACCATTCCCAAACCGGAATTGATACCAGAGTACGACGTGTACTCTGCACCCGCGTACGAAATACCAAAGAGCGCACCCAAGCCTAAGGATATAACGAACCGCGTCAAGTTAAAAGAAGCAGTACGCCAGTAGAGATCGCAAAAGCGTTTCAACAGGAATTTCGCTTGAGTGAGCTCGGAAGCTGCGCGTTTGTCGCTGAATTCGAGTGCTGGTAATGTCGGTGATGGTCGAGTCACACCTTCCTGGTCTAAACTCGACTGTAGACGCTGAGCGTGAGTGCTCGCTTTGAAGATCTCCACAAAATTCGTCTTGTCTCCGTTGCTGTTACCGACACCAGCACCGATCACCTCCAACATCCACGTAGCCGGGTTGTAGTCGGCTTCAAGCGTTGCTACACCTTCAAGCGACTCGAAGTACTCGATCATTTCACGTGCGTTGTCACCTAACTCGCCAACAAAGACTGTCTCACCGCCACGTTTCAACAGTAACAGACTGTCGAACACACTGAAAACCTCGGAAGATGGCTGGTGGATGGTACACACGATGGTACGCCCCGTATCCGCCACTTTTCGAACTCCATCCATGATCAACTTGGCCGATCGAGCGTCCAACCCACTCGTCGGTTCGTCCAGGAACAAGACACTCGGCGAGTTACGTGTCACCACTCCGATCGTCAGTCTCTTCATCTGCTCCACGGAGCTGCCACGGATGATCTGGTCAGCGATCAGATTTAGATCTAGAAGATCTAAACACTCGTTTACAGAATCATATTTGTGACTGTCTGGAATATCGGCGCCTTGACGTAGGAACGCACTGAATGTCAACGCCTCACGAATGGTAGACGACTCGGAGTGAATGTCCATCTGCTCACAGTACCCCGTCGAACGTCGAATAGCCAGATCTGTGGCAGGATGACCATTGAGCAGAATCTGACCGCGGATCTGACCGCCAGTCTTCCGCCCAGCAATCACGTCCATCAGCGTCGTCTTGCCAGCTCCAGACGAGCCCATAAGCGCAGTGATAGTGCCTGGTAGTGCATACCCAGAGATGCCTTTCAGCAAGTCGATTGTTCTCTTCGGGTTGGTCGGGTCTGGTACAGTGTACCACAAATCCTGGAACCTGGTACAAAATACTTTTGTCTTGCGTGGTCGACCGAGATCACTGACTCGCTGTGTTTCTTTGATCCTCGCGGCGTTCGAGTGAGCGTGTAGCTGTCTTTTGCGTCAACTTTGCTCTCATCTGTAAGTACAACATTTTCTGGACGCTCGAAGCGATGGTACTCTAGTGCGATGCAAGACAGGAACAGGAAGAACACGTATGTGACTGCCATATAGACCATCCCGTACCACAGCCAGTACTTCTCGGACGGTACCTCGTATGTACTGAGGGTGTATTCCCCCATCGTCATACCGTACTTAGTACAGTAGTCGATCCCATTGTACCCACATTTGTCAAAGTGTGAGGAGATGTACTGGTTAATACCCAGTGCGCGAATCCCCCACGACGTCGGGTTGATCCAGTACATCCAGATGAGGTACTCTGGAATTTGGTCCTTTGTGATCGTGTAGCCGGCAAACATGACGAAAAACACGATCGAAACGCTGGAAAGAGGATTAGCCACGTTCAAATTTGGAGACGCAGTAGCCAGAAAAAAGAAGAAGGCCGCCAGTGCGACGTTGATCAGACACAGCACCACCACGAAGACGATGAAGCTCCAGAACGAATTCAAGAAGCCACACATCCAGTACACAATGGCACTGAACACCACCGTTTCCAGAATGATGGCTGGTAGTTGTACCACTGAGTTGGACAGCACGTACGACGCTGTCCGGAACAAGTTGGCACCTCGTTGCTTGTAGAAAACCTCTCGTGTAGCCATCACCGTCGGGATTTGAGCAGCCTGACCCACTGACAGATTTAAAATGGATTCGAAAATGATACCCATAGTCAGCTGCGCATCTGTCGTGTCGAACTGGTAGTAGACACTGGAGCACAGTAGAGCGATGACAGTACTCATGATCAGTCGTCCTACCATAGCTGACATCTCCCGTCTCGTGATAGTAATCTCTCGCTTCATCAGTAGCATCGTACTAGCCCAGAAACTCTGAGAGAATTCTGGTTGAACATCCATATGAGTCTTCATATCTTCGACGAGACTGGGGGCAACTGGAGCTTGAAGGGCGTTCAGGGTTTGACTGTAGATGGCCGAGTGTTTAAACGCATTGGAGAACTCTTTGGGAGAACGAGGGATGACTCCATTGTCGAGTTTCACTTCGTATTGGTTTTGTTTGTTGGTACCGAGATCTAGTAGGAAATCCGCCACGTCGCGAGACGGAGGACACTTGAAGCCAAGGTTCTCGAAGTATCTTAAGGCTTCTGTGCATGGTCCGTGGTACATAAGGTGACCGGCGTTTAGAATCATGACATCGTCGAACAGAGCGAACACCTCGGGTGACGGTTGCAGTAGTGAGATGACCACTGTCTTACGGAACTTCTTGGCCAGACTACGTTGCGTCGTGATGATATCGAACGTCGCGGCGCTGTCCAGCCCCGTGCTGATCTCGTCCATCATCACCACGTACTTGTTACCAAACGACATCTCGCCTGTCGTCACGCGCTTACGCTCTCCACCAGACACACCACGTAGCATAGCGTCGCCCACAATTGTGTGCTGACAGTTCTCCAGTCCCAGTTGCTGGATCACAACGTCTGGGTAATGTTTGACAAGTGCTTGAGCGGCTTTCAGCGCCTCCGCATTCTCGTCCGGAGTTCCGTTCACCAAGTGACTCGCGTCATGTTCAGACAACACCTCACCACACGCAGCATGGGCGAACTCCAGCGTCTCCTTCACTGTCAATTCGGGGTAATGTTTGTCACGCTGTGGCACATACGACACCAACTGCGGTAGTCGTCTGTGCAACTCTTCAGCCGACGTGCCATTGTACGTCACCTCACCCTCGATCGAGACGTTCTTGTCCTTCGGGAAGCGTCCACTTAGTAGCTTCATCAATGACGACTTGCCTGCCCCAGGCTGCCCCAGTACAAGTGTGATGGTCCCTAGCTTGAGGACGCCACTCACGCCTCTCAGAATACGCTTGGTCACTGTGTGTTTCGTAGCGACTAGACCACGCAGCGTCTTCATCATCTCGTTCGGGAGTGTAGGTAGCTGCACCTCCAGGTCACTCGCGTCCTTGACCACGACGTCCGCAGAGATGGACACGTCCTTGAAACGCACTTCCATCCGAGGAAGAGGTTTGCCCAACGACGTCTCCAAGCGCGAAGCCACGTGTTCGTGAAGTTCTAATGGCCCTCGAGCCATCAGCATTTTGCCGTCGTCGTACCCGATCGCTGTGGCGAGTGTTTTCCCACCAGCAGTTGTCGTCATGGCAAAGTGTTTAACGTGGTGACTCTTTGTTTGGATTGATGCAGGAGAAGAAAATTGAGGAATGATACCTCGGATGTGTGTACAGTACCATTTTACCAAAGTGATTATTGGACATGACTTTGCCTGGCAATCGCGTCGTTTACGATACACTGACTTGCCTGGCAAACCGAAGGATTACACTGATTGGTGGACTCAGATTCTGATCCCCTTCTTTTTTTTTGGCACGCCCGGCTGAGTGAAATGTGACGAGGCTAAGAGCATCTCCAGCGGTTGGTCGTAAAGGCGGTTTTATCTCAAATGTAGCGCGCTTAAGACTTGAGCGAGTCTTAACGCTCCCAGCGGTAAGTCTCAACGCTGGTTTTAACTTCAGCAGGTCTTAAATTTGCCTTTCGGGGTTTTAAAATAAGACTCGGATCTTAAAGGGTGGTGTGGCCCACACTTCAACGTTGACACGAGCTCGCGCGCAAAACAGAAGAACTCGTCGAGAAAGATGGGGAAGGGTCGAGAATGGAGCGCGGAGGAGACGATTCAGCTGTGCAGATCGTGGCTGGAGACATCAGAAGACCCCATTCGCGGAGCCGGTCAAAAGAAGGGTTCGTTCTACGCCAAAGTTTATCAGCATTGGCTTGCACAGCGAGGGGCTGGTGCAGACGAGCGATCGGAGGCTGCAGTTTCTGGTAGGTGGAAGAAGCTCCAGCCAGAAGTGACAAAATTCGAGGGCATCTTCTCAAAGCTGAAGAGCAAGGAACGCTCTGGATGGAATGAGGAGATGTTCGTAAAGTCAGCAGTATCGATCTACGGGGAGCGGCACAAGCAGCCATTTGAGTTTTTGGATGCTTGGAATGAGCTTCGTGACAAACCCAAGTGGACACAACGGCTTACTACTTCGAGCACTACGCTAGGAACAAAACGCAAAAAAGAAGCTGTGCCAAGACCAGAAAGCCAGAAAGCTGCGAAGGCTGCTAAGATTGCTGGAAGTGTCGGCAAAGATGGTTTGCCAACCGATCTGCATCTACGATTTGTGGCAGCGTCGGAAAAGAAGGCTTTAGTGATGGAGAAGCAGTTTCAGTACAGCATTTTCATGCAGGCTCCGGACAGCGCAGAGTCCCAGGAATATTTTGCCATCCAGCGCCAGGCAATTTTGGCCCAGCTTCGTGCATCTACTTGTGACGCGCTGTCAAAGGAAGGCGATAAAGAGAGCCGTGACGCCAATGCAAACTCAGAAACCATTGGCGATTCCTTCTTTAACCAGCTATCAGGTTAGCTCGAAAGCATTTCGACACTACAGGTATGTGGTTGCTGTTTGCCTATCATTACAATACCGTGCTAACTACCTTCTCCAAATACTTTCCAGACATGCTCAATTAAGTCGTTCTTCAACTCGAAATGCAAGGCTTCGTCTTCAATTACTTTCAGTACTTGCGCAATGTCGGTAACCGGGCAAAATTCATTCGGCAGTGGTGGTGCGGGACTTACCCAACCATCTTCGTAAAGATATTCATTGTTGCAAGCACTTTCCCCTTGTTCGTTCTCAATGATCATATTGTGGAGAACAATGCATGCCATCATGACGTCTCCCATGGCTGTACTGCTCCAAAGTTTACACGGCTGAGCAATTATGCGAAAGCGCTGCTGTAAAACGCCAAAGGCACGTTCGACATCTTTTCGAGCTCCTTCCTGAAGTGCAGCATACAACTTTCTTTTGCGGTTAGCTGGCGAGCTGATGCTGTGCTGGAATATAGCCCACGAAGGATATATTCCATCAGTCAAGTAGTAAGCGTGACTGTAGTCTGCGTCATTAACTCTGAAAGAAACTTTAGGTGTTTCACCATTCACTAAATCATCCAGTAGTGGGGAGCGCTCCAGGACATTCAAGTCATGATTCGACCCCGGTGCTCCAAAGAATGCATGCCATATCCAAAGAGATTGAGAAGCAACAGCTTCTAGTATGACGGTTGCAGCCTTCTCCTTACCGCGGTACATTCCTGCCCACGCAACAGGGCAGTTTTTCCATGCCCAGTGCATGCAGTCGAGACTGCCAATCATGCCAGGGAAGCCTCGAACAGCATTTTCAGCTAGCAGCAGTTCCAGATCATATGAAGTAGGTTTGCGTAGATACTCAGGTCCGTACAGCCGCGTAATGCTGCTACAAAATGTTTTTAACGATTCCAATGCTGTTGATTCACCAATGCGAATGACCTCATCGAGCTGGTCTGCACTTGCGCCATATGCGAGCATCCGCAGTGCACATGTAATCTTTTGTTCTGGAAGAAACCCCAACAAACCGGTAGCATCAGGCCGCTGCACGAAATAGTTGCAGTGTTCATCCTCGACAAGAGCGCAGACGATGGTTTCAAATAGGTCTCGACGCATTCTAAAGCGCCGACGGAAGTCCTCTATATGCCGTGGTGACACTTAAAAGTCAGGATCTGTTGTAATAGCAGATTCACAAGTCAGGAAATCAACGTACCCGCATCGTAGGTCGGATTATCGCAGAAGTAGTCGGCTATCATCTCCTCCCCATACTGTGCTCTCTTGCGTTCCTTTCCTGCTCACCTGCCGACTTCAGAACCACCGTGCTTCCTCTTCCGCTGTGCATTTAGCTCAGGTAATATGAAGAGACTGAAGAACTCGTCATCAGAATCCCCTGTTGCGTCACAAAACGCATCCGCATTAGCTCCTGCCATGCCCTTCATGAGAGGAAGGGGGCGAGGGGGGGGGGGGCGGGGGCGGAGCTTACAATGCTTGCTGTGATTCGCCAAAACAATAAGATAGATCTTTGCTTGAGACCTCCCGTTGCGGCAAAATCAGAGGTGCGGAGTCTTAAAATAAAACTGCGGTCTCAATGGCCTCGAAGGGGCGTCGATACGACTCACGTTAGGACTTACCGCTGGAGATGCTCTAATGTGACCGGTTGAGCCCAGCTGATACCGACTGAGCCCGGCTAGACGAGAGTCAGTGCCGCGTCATCACTTGATGAGTGGCTGGATTTATACGTATAGCCGGCTTCCTTTTTGCCCAAGAAAAAACCTCAACTGATACTTTAAGAAAAAATCACGTGTGGTGTCTTGCATTGGCACTGAAACACTTAGCAAAAAAAAGTGTCTAAGTATGGTGTTTAAATTGGTGAGTCGTACTGTGATAGTGTTTATATTGGTAAGGTGTAGTGTAATGTAAAAAGTGATGTATTTAAAGGCACATACACAGATACCTGTATCGGAGACATTGGAGCATCTTCTTGTCAACGGCTCCCACTGCATTTGCTCCGCACAACATTTCAAATACAAGTAGGACGTACACGCCACAGTTGTAGCTATCCGTTTGTATGCCGAGGCTAGATTCGTATAAACGGGTGCGGTAACGCTTCACACCAGCACCCGGAAGCAAACTTACCAGAGACCCGGCAACATCCCGGATACTTGCCATGTAACTTGAGTGCATCGGGTCGTACAATAGTATCTCATCGGTAGCAGAGTTGACGATGATTGCACACCAGTGGTTCCCGCTACAGTTGATCGGGATAAGAATCCGTTGACTGGATACTTCATTCAATGCAACACGTAGCGCATCTCGATCCGTTCTGATGCTGTCATTTCTGGTGATGCTCACAGTAGTTGGGTTGATCATCACTACCATATTGTCCGTTCCGAATAATTTTTGCATGACAGTCCACATAGTTGTGTCTTCGAGGGATCCCTTAGCAGCAAAATCGAGCACATTTATCTAGACAATTGTAAATACGCAATAATGTTTACCCAAATAATTTGTGAAGGATAAGTTTACGAAAAAAAGGATGCGTACCTGCTCGGACAGAAGCGGCATTTATTTCAACTTGGCAGGCAAATTGGGATCTGTTTCAACGTGAAATGACGTATCACAAAGCAGTGACACGTCCACTGAAGAGATCCAATGCAGCACGCGCTCAACAGTCTTAACGGCAGTCAGTGCCCGATGCCACTGCTTCATTATTGAGAGCGTGCACGGCATAAAAATGCCTACACCCACCACCTCAATTGCAATGTCCTGCTCAGCCAGCCCGCGCCGATTCCGTTGATATGCCGTCACCTTAGCATCGCATTTTCGTAACAGGTCCCATGCAAACACCCGCGTAAACTCACAGGCATCTGTGATTGGTTTTCCTGGTGGTAGCTGTGACGCATTGTGTGCAATTGGCGGTTTTGGTCGCCTGTCAAACACGAATTGTTTGAACTGGTTGAGTAATTGACCTGCTGACTCGCACGTAGCCTCTCCAGAAAGCGCCTCTTTAATCGAGTTGAGGGACAACCGTCTTTCATGCATGTCTGAATCATCTCGGGCCATCTCGATTGCAATACTTTTCTTGGCCTTTTTTTGCTTTTGGTTTCTGTTTTGGTCGTCTACGAGGCCTCACCGGACTTGCGATATCAAAGTCGGTGGTGGGATCCACAGAAAGTAGCTGAATTTCACAGTCGTGCGATGTAATCTCTGTTCGAGATTTTAATGTATCCATCTGGTTGCTCGGGGTACCCGACTGCGCAGGAACCGCACCCGACTGCGCAGTAACCGCACCCAACTGCGCAGGAACCGCACCCGACTGCGCAGTAACCATACCCGACTCGCCACTCAGTATAAACGACTGGTCAGGAGTCGTACCCGACTGGTCAGGAGTCGTACCCGACTGGTCATTCAGTATAACCGACTGGTCACCCGACCGAGGTCCCGGTGAACTAGATTCATCGCCCAGCGTTGCCGATAGGGCTTCAAGTGGACTCGCTTCTACTGGTGCGGTCCTTGAAGCTTACGAATTATTTGAGTGAACGGATTGTGTCTCGTACCGAGTGCCTTGAATTCTAGTGTCGCCCATAGTACCTGATTCTAATTGATGCTCATCTGCTTCAGCTAGCCCAGCAAGTTTGCTGAACTCTCTGCGCTTAATTACACTTGACACTTGAGCCAATGCACTCATGGCTAATCGGTACTCAGTCATGCCAAGTCCGCTTATCGTCTCGCAGATAGTGGTAGCCACATGACGAGCTTCCCGGAACTTCCGATTTGAGTCCCAGGGTACTTCGGGCTCTTGAAGCACAGTACCCAAAACAATAGCTTCTCGTCGTGTGTCCTCTAGAGCCGTGGATACACGAAGAGACGACATTAACCATCTTGAATTTAAAGTCTGACTCGGAATGACTGTTTCGAGCCCACGGGCCTTCCGAAGGTAAAAAACGTGACGGCATGGAAGCAAACGTGTTGCCATGAAAAGACACGAACATTCCCACTCGCGCGTGTTGATATGATATTCCGATCTCCAGCTGTCCAGAGCACAGTCGTCCTTGTCGGTACTTTTTATAAATGTCATCCCCACGTACGGCTCATAGAATGTGTACGAAGCTTGATGCACTGCGTAATCGTACTGCTCGTAGATGAGCTCGCAAACGTGCTCACTGACAAGGTTAGCCACATGAGCCATTTCGCGATCATACTTTTTGTGCTGTACAACGCTTAGCTTATACACTTTTTGCCGAAATTGCTGTTCGGCCATCGTCTGATAAAACATGATAGAAGCGATGCACTCATCGAGTCCCATTAATGAGTGCATCATATCTTTAAGCTGCTTCCACGACGACTCCAATCGGTTGTTCGTATCGTTGCCCAATGTAACCGCATTTTCACGCCTGTGTGCGCACCATAGCTGCCGACAATTACCCCAATTTTTGGCAAAGTAAGCGGCAAATGCATGCAAACCTTGTTGGTCCTGGGGCACTGCATTTGGGACTTTGGTCTCTTCTGAGTCGGACTCAGAGTGGGCTAAGTCGGGTTCATCACGAGCAAAGTCGGGTACCAACTGGGCTGAGTCGGGCACGGGCTGGTCTGAGACGACCAACTGGGCTGTGTTGGGCACGGGCTGGGCTGAGTCGGGCACGGACAGTGGCGAAGCTTGTTGTTCGGCAAAAGAAGCTGTAATACCCTTGGCCGCAGTCGAACCAATGCGCGTGAGCTGGTGCATGTAGCTGAGATGTTTCATGTACTCTTGCTCTGTCTTCGCGTACACCAGTAGGCTCACAATACTACGAATTTGCTTCTTCTGCCAATTACTGAAGCCATAGTCTGACGATGCAACTTCCTCCGACAAGTACTTGATTACGTGAAATTGACAGAGAAGTACTCTGGCCTCCGGTAGAGCTGTCTTCAACACTGCTAGCTCAGTGAAATCCTTATCAATAATCACGCATTGGATTTTGGTCCAGGCTGGATTAGCCGCCTTGAATGATTCAATCGCCGTCAAGAGTGTGGGAGCTCTTTCATTTTGTAGCGCACAATGTTGCACAAACTGACCTTTACCAAAGACATCATGCGCCATAAACGAGAAGACCTTATACGTGGACACATTG